CGGTGTGGTATATTATCAAAATGAATGCGGTTTAGCTGTCGCAGTTCAGCTTTCAATAACTTTAACTTAGAGTGAAACCTTTGTAGAGCTGAGCGGGAGTAGAACAATGGCGGAGACGCTGACAATACCCTAGAAACTGTTTCCAAAAACAGAGGATGACTTGACCAATAAGTGAAAAAATTTAACCGCTTACGCTTACCATGGCTTATGGAGGAGAGTTGAACAAAGCTGCGAGTGTGATCTGAAATCCCACTAGCTTCATACAAAGTGTAAGATGATGGGTACTGTGATAACCAACCTCCGTTAACAAGGACCCTATCCAATTTTTTCCCGATTGGATTACCATCCTGACTATTCCACCATGTAAACTTTGGGCCTACAGATGCCATATCCTCCAACCCGCAGCTAAGGACCGTGTTTTGAAATTCTAACATGCCCGAAGAGTTTAGCGAATAATCAAGAGTACGAGAATGCTCTGTCGTGCTCAAGATCTCGTTAAAATCTCCTAAAACAATCCAAGGGGTGCTTGCTGTAACGTACATTGTTTGGTTGTCCAACAACTCGGACCACAACACCCGACGATCCATTTGAAAGTTAGATGCATAAACACACGAGCATAAACATTGCTTACCATCCTCCATTTTTACCCAACATGTGATAAGCTGTGAGCTTATGGATAGCGGAGTTACTTCGACTGAAGGAGACCAGCAGAACCATATTCTACCCAAGTGGTTGTGCTCATAATTTGCTTGATAATTCCATCCTGGAAGAGCATCGTTGAACACCAAAATAAACTGATCCTCTTGTACTCTTTTTTCCACCAGACATCCAAAACTAGGCTTAATCGCTTGAACCCATTCCTTGACTACCATGTGTTTGCATGGCATATTGAACCCACGCATGTTCCATGCAAAGATAGATGTCATTAAAACTTCCGAGAGGAAGCCTTCTTAGAGTTTAACTGCGCACCAGCCTGAATCATATCCTTCTTGTGCAAGATAGGTTTACGACCATGTTTTTTTCCTGTCATCTTACTAACCTGCTTCCCTTTACTCTCCCCCTCATGCAACTCATTTATATTTCCATTGGTTGTCTCCTTTGTTTCAATTATCTCCCCATCCTAGGATCTGAAACCGAGACGGCGAGCTAGTACCGCCTACATTCCCCATACTCCGATCATTGGAGGGAGTGACTTGAGTCTGTTTAGGGGATGCAGAGCAACCTGCGCTTGTAACTTTAGACCAGCCATCGTCCATGGCTAACTCATCGTGCTCCGCTTCTTTATCATTAACCTCTGTTTCACATTCCTTGTTGGGACAGTTTCCTGTAACCGTCATGCATTGACATAATATCAGTCACTACATTTGCTTCCTCTGTTGCAGCTGGTAGCGCATTTATCTTTTCCAAGTCCGAGAGTAGATTCTGTACCACCACCGCTACCTGTCTTGACTCACCAGAAACTGCGGCACTCTTGGCCAATTTCTCAGGAATTTCATTCTGTATCACTGTTCCATGCTGCTTAGTCAAAATAGAGGCTGTCTTAGCCTGGGCGCAATCTTCACTCTTATGACCCCAACTGTTACAGATGGCACACTTTGGTGGAAGCCAAGGGTAGTCCACAGTAACCATATTGACGACACCATTCTTATCCGTACAACAAATTTTTTCTGTCAACGGCTTTGTAAGATCAACTTCTACTAGTACACGTGCAACATCCAGCCTAGTGCACCTCTCCGTATTGGGGTGTAAACGAACAAAATTTCCAGTGATGTCCCCCAGGTAACGAAGCCCTACTTGAGAAAAGAGGTACCCTGGAACTCCTTTTAGATCCACCTAGAGAGGCATTCCCGACAAATCAGGCCTCTCATTGGCTGTCTCTGGACTCCATTCATTGACGACTAGTGGAATATCTGCAATATGCCAGTAGTGTCTCTTTAGCACCCGAGTTCTAGTATTGGTATTGGCATTGTCTTCGATGGGCGGCTCGCGGACGTCCAGATCCGATTAACCGTGGCATGAATCCTCCCAACAAACGGGGCGTCCCCCATGAAATAACCTACTACAAAGCTTTTCCAAAGAGGTGAACCCTCATCCACAATCTCATCAGGAACAGAAACTCTAGCAACACCGTTGTCTAGATCAAAAACAGGTTTGACAATCGTCTTAGGAATATGATTTGCAGACCATGGAGACCTCTGTATCGGAGAAGGAGAGCCAACAGCCGGCAGAGAGGGAGACTCAGAAGCCGGCGGGGAATACCCCATGGCCTCTGGCAAGTTAAACGTGACCGTGAAGCTAGAAAAGGAAATGTTTGGAAGTCGCCCTAGGAGAGAGCGGCTAGGTTTAGAATGTCTTCATAAGTCGGGTTTTTATGAAACATGTTTGACGATTATTGCTTATTGTTCAAGGTTTCGTGGGTTGATCATGATTTTTCAATAGTGTTAAAATGTCAAAAACATGTTTTAGAAATTGGATGAAGAAAGAATACATTACATACGTCAAAAAGGTATTTTTCTTTGTTGCTTTCGTTCTTGAGTTAGCTCTGTTATGTTTATTGACGTAAAAAAAATATTATTTTCGGTTTTGATACATTTTGTCGAATTGAGTGGGTGATTGGTTGAGTTGTACCTGTAGATTTTATTGTTGTAAGATTTTTGATGTATTTGTATTGACTATAGCTGTAAAAGTTTTTTAAAGTTTTCGTTTAGAAAGTTGTTTTTTAGTGTAACTTTTCGTTGATATATTTTTATTAAGGGATAAATAAAATTTCAATTTATAAATGTTTTACTATAAAGTTGCGACTCAAAATAATAAAAGGTTAATAATAAATTTCAAATAATTAATTTTATTCTACATTTTTTTCTTTTTTTTTTTAACTTGTTCATGTTGTACCAATAAACACAGTTCTAGTAATAGTTTTAAAAATACTTACGTCCATCTAGCCTTGCAAATTTGGTTTACCGGGTCTGTTATTTTGGAAACTAGATTTTATGTCGAAAATAAGTGAAACCAATTACGGTTCAGAATTCAATTTTAGACATTTTCTTGAGTTAAACCGATAATTACATTAAAAATTCAGGAAGTTCCACCGATCAGTTAAGTCGGGTTTTTCTGAAACATGTTTGACGATTATTGTTTATTGTTCAAGGTTTCGTGGGTTGATCATGATTTTTCAATGGTGTTAAAATGTCAAAAACATGTTTTAGAAATTGAACGAAGAAAGAATACATTACATACGTCGAAAATGTATTTTTCTTTGTTGCTTTCGTTCTTGTGTTAGCTCTGTTATGTTCTTTGACGTAAAAAAAATATTATTTTCGGTTTGATACATTTTGTCGAATTGAGTGGGTGACTGGTTGAGTTGTACATGTAGAATTATTGTTGTAAGATTTTTGATGTATTTGTATTGACTATAGTTGTAAAAAAAAATTAAATTTTAAATTTATTACTATTTAATAGTTTTCGTTTAGAAAGTTGTCTTTTAGTGTAACTTTTTGTTGATATAATTTTTGCTGAAAAAAAAAAAAAATTTTATTAAGGGTTCAATAAGATTTCAATTTATAAATGTTTTATTATAAAGTTGCGACTCAAAAGAATAAAAGGTTTTTTTTTTTTGTCGTCTAAATTTATTATTAATTGCAAATTATGAGAACTGTTACATAGACAATTCTACAACTGACAATTCCTTCCGACCCTTACTAGATCTACGACAGACTACACTATCTTCTTCGTGATCTTGATGAATACCTTCAATGATCCACGACCTAGCGACACTTCCTTCTCTGCGTAGAATCCTGGCGAACGGCTATAATTGTACATCGCTGGAGATCTCTTGCACACTTGCCTCCATTAATCTGCAAATTTGTTAATAAATAGCAATATCTGGGACTCGAACCCCAGACCTCTTGGTGTAGAAGCATTAATCAACCCTTGATCAACCAATGGGCCAAGGGGGCTTCCACAAACAATAAAAGGTTAATAATAAATTTCAAATAATTAATTTTACTATACATTTTTTTTAATTGGTTCATGTTGTACCAAATAAACACAGTTCTAGTAATAGTTTTAAAATACTTACGTCCATCTAACTTGCAGAGTCAGTTACACGGTCCGTATTTGAGAGTCACTCCTAGAATTGTAAAAAATTGGTTTCTTTT